TACAACCCGTCCACCACTACTCTCTGGGTGCACCTCATCAGCCAATTTTTTACCCATCCAACTGTGCAGCCATCAATGCCACAGTTGCTTACTTTATTGATGAGGATGGGGTGAGAGACAGTGTCAAAGGCCTTCTTAAAGACTAGAAAGACTACATCCACAGCAACACCATCATCCAAGGATTCAGTTACTTGGTCATAAAAGGCAATCAGGTTGGTCTGGCAGGACCTGCCTTTGATGAACCCATGCTGATTGCCCCTGAGCATGATCTCCCCTGCAGGCCCCCCACAGATGTGCTCCTTGATGATTCTCTCCAAGATCTTTCTGAGCACCGAGGTGAGGCTTACAGGCCTATAGTTACTTGGGTCCTCCTTCCTCCCATTCTTGAAAATTGGGACCACATTAGCCAGTTTCCAATCCCCTGGAACCTGGCCAGATGACCACAAATGCTCATACAGCCAAGCCAAGGGCTCTGTGATGACCCCTGCCAGCTCCTTCAACACCCTTGGGTGGCGGGCATCTGGACCTGCAGATTTAAAAATGTCTAGCCCTTCCAGAAGATCCCTAACTACATCTGCGCTGACTGAAGGCCTGATAGAACTATCCCCGAGACTGTCCCTACCTCTGGTAGGTGGGATGTCCTGGTCACTGTTCAAGAAAACAGAGGCAAAGAAACTGTTAAAAATATCAGCTTTCTTGTCTGACGTAGCCACAAGATTACCATTTGCATCTTGCAGGGGCCCTACATTGCCTGGTGCCCTCTTCTTGCTCCCAATATACTTAAAAAGGACTTTTTGTTGTCCTTTAATCCTGGACGCTAGCCCGAGTTCCATCTCTGCCTTGGCCTTCCTAATAGCCCTCCTACACTCACGGCCCAAGGAGTACTCCTCCTTGGTGATAGCTCCTCCCTTCCACTGGTTGTACGCCCCACTTTTAGTCCTCAGGAATTCCTGAATGCCCTTGCTGAGCCAAGGGGGTTTCTGAGCACTCTTACCCCCCTTGCTTCTCTCACAGACTGTTATCCTTTGGGCCTGGAGGATTGCCCCCTTAAGGTACAACCATCCCTCATGGACTCCCATCTCCTCTACCTTCTGGGCCCTCGGTGCCTCCCCCACTAGTCTCCTGAACTCATTGAAGTTGGCCCTTATGAAGTCAAGGGCTTTAGCCTTGGTGTGAGCCCTAGACGCCCTTCGTTGGATAGTGAAATCCAGCAGGTGATGATCACTATTGCCTTCATGTGGGGTGTTTTCTGCTCCCTTTCACAAATATAGCATTTTGCTGCCCCTTTACTAGTCTTACTTCCTCTCTGCCTGCAGAATGTTTAATATCATTTTGGCACAAAGCTCTCATTTGTACTTTAAAAGCATCTTAAGAGTATGAAACTGTTCATTGATAGAGACACTCCAAATATACAACATAGAAAAATCTATTGTATGATTCTGAATCGGTCTCTACTGTTAAACATAACCATGACACTATCACAGATAATGACATTGCTCCATTCTTACTACTTCAAATTTAAGAAACAGCCTTCATGATATATAGTACAGCAAAACAATTGGGTAGCTGAGCCTGGGACTAAATTTTGAAACAATGATGCCAAAGAGATTAAGAATTTGCAAGCTATGTATCTCACACTTAAATAGTTGGATGCAGACCTTGTTACCATCACCCAGGTCTTCTTTGCCTCAAGGTTAAATTATTATAATGCTCTCTACAGAAGTTTACAACCTAATATTCAGGAATGTAAGCTGACAGAATGTAGCTATCTGTTAAACTATGTGAAGTGGCACTTCTGGCACAAGAAATATTATACAAATATAATATCCCATGTAAGATTTAAGAAGTGGTTTTTAACTGTGGTCTGGGCTTAGACTCCCTAAAGTCCACCCCTTTCAACAGGTGACTGCAGCAAACTGTGATCATCTGCAAAGATGTGCAAGCCACCAGCTCCATCTCTACAAATGACCCTTGGACAAATGAGTGCGTCTTAAGTGGATGCTGCAAAGATTCACCTATTTTCTCACATTTTTCAGGGGAAGGGATTAATTGAATGTGGTTAGGGATGGCTGAAGGCAGATTTTTATGAAAATGTTTGGTCTTAACTTGTTCAATGGGTGATGTACAGTATTAAAACGTACTGTATTGTGAAGTGGCTTTGGGTGATGAAATTACTGGTATTTATAAGCTCATTGGTATGTGTACCTAGAATATGGGGGGCGGGGATGGACCTTATGTATCTTGGTAAATAAACAAGCAAATAAGGAACTCTGTCTAGTGAGATAATGTTGGTTTTTTTTAAACTTTTTTTTATTTATTATGATTACATAAGTTTTGGACATATTCAGCTAGTGTATTTTTTTTACTAACTGGCTGTTTCTTTAACTTTGTGCATCAAAACACAGCTGATTAAATTAACTATTAGGCCAAATAATCATAACAGTATCTATTCCTAGACATTTGTATTAGATGTAAAAAGAATTTAAGAATGTTGAAACTAATTATTTTATCTTAAACTTGACTTCCTCTGGCACTTTTGTTATAAAGAAAGACATGGAATGTGAAAATAGTGCCACCTTATGGTCAGAACTGCATATTATTTACTCATAGCAGAATTAAAGGAAGTTAATGTTAGATTCTCAAAGTTTACATAAAACAATGTTATGCTAGTGTCACCAGGGCAAAGATTAATTTCCTAGTCTAGATCTGAGCTCAAAAGAAGAACTTGGTGATGTAGATGTATCACTGGATGCATTTTTTCGACTTACTAGAATTGCAGGCGATTCTATTACATTAGGAATAACATATATTTTATCTCTT